GGACGCCTCATCAGGTAATATATATTATTTGCTATCTCATTGTTACCAGGGTATATTATTAGTTTCTATTTATTGTTATAATTTGTGAGACACATTACTCTATTATTATAGTACAGTATATTTCATATATGTATAAAAACCACAACAATAATCATTACAACACATAATATGTATAATTTAAATAAATGTATTCACGGCTTATATAATAACAAATAATGGCAACAATAGTATGTGTTTTAGACACTGAGCGAAAAAATACTTATACTTTCACTAAATGATATAAATATATTGAAAGCCTTTTTTTCTTGACTCAAAATTCAATTTTCTAAACTTTTTTTGAGCCAATATTACGGTGTCTTTTAAAAATGTAAAATATAAAAGTATTACTGAATTTTGTTTTTTACTTTTTTTTGTACATTTTTATTATGCATTTTTGTGTTCAGAAATAATAGCGTAAGAATTGAATTCCCGTTTTTCTATACTATAGTAAAAAGTTTTTTGTCTAAAACCCAATTAGGAGTTGAATTTGAATTTTTTTGCACTTAATTTGAAAATATTATTACTTGTGAAAAAAGCAAAATAATATAAAAGGTCATTTCAAGTCCTATTTTATGTTATTTTATTTTTTTTCGCAAAAGTAGTCTTAATATCACTAAATGTATTGTGATTTGTTTGGCATATAAAACAAAAAAATTGTCTAAAACTTCATAAATATTTATTTGTTTGCAATGCATTTATATTGTATAGTGCTAGTTGTACTCGAGCAGTGTATGTCTTAATTACATAAACAATCCGGATAAAACAATACATTTAAATCATAAGGTTTTATGAGTTTTATTATTAGTTTTCATTTGCAAACACAAAATGAAGATCTTTTTGTGCGAATACAATAAATCTGTGGACTAATGGATGGCTTTGTTATATGCAATGGTTTTCACTATTTTTGCTATTATTTCGCTGTTTTTTGTATTAAATTTGTAGTTGATTTGGAAATTTAAACCCTTATTTTGCAATTATATTTATACACAGAATATAATATGTTTTTTGCATTTAATTTAATCGCAAAGTTGCCGAAACCGCACATGAATTGCACGCCTATTACAATAGTTTTTGTTCAGTTTTTTAATAATTCAAAGTTTGCTTTTATTTTATGCAAAAAACAAAAAAAAAATTTTTATAAAGAATATTCTTTACCAGAATATAGCGTACAAAATGAATAATAGATTTTGTGAATTTGTTTGCCAAATATTATATCTTTCTCTGTATTTCATTCAAACAAATATGATTTAAAGGGCAGATTATATATGTATGCTCTCTCTCTCTCTCTCTCTCTCTCTCTCTCTCTCTCTCGACTGCCTTTTTTCACAATTACTACATACAATAAAAAACTAAATTCCCAATTTGAATTTCAAATATTATCATAACCACTAATAACATTACAAACATGGAAACAACACACATATACTACTAGTAAACCCGATGTATTATACTATTACAATATATCATACAATTGTTTTTATTGAGAAAATATGAAACATTGCGTAACAAACATACGGCAGACAATAAGTCCTAAAATACAATTTGCAAGGGGAAAGGGATCAATAAATTGCAAATAAAACTTATTGATGTATTTATTTCTACTCGTATTTGCAGTACATTTGCATCAGTTATACAAACTAAAGACCGCCAAACTGTTTGAAAAGCCAAAAGTGAGCAAAATGTGTGCCGACTCGTCGTCATCGGGCGCCGAGAGTGGGGTCGGCCTACAGGAGAACGACGACCCCTTCGCCATCGAGCAGTTGACCTTTTGCACCGATAGCCGGTACCTGTGTATAGGCGGTGCCACCTCTCAAGTGATCGGTTTTCGGTTCAGTAAACACGAGACCCATAATGAAGTGCCGGTAAGACTGTGTATATATATATAGTATACTATCGATTCCGGTATTCTCCGGAATATTCTGTGAATTTATTACTTTCTCCTCATTTTTCATTGCCTGCTCTCTCTCTCTCTCTCTCTCTCTCTCTCTCTCGCTCTCTCGCCTCTCACTCATATTGGATGCGAGCGATACTTCTCTAACCATTTGCACAGATCTCTGGATTTCATAATGTTTTTCAAAAAACCGAAAATCCTATTGAATAGCATTATTGAGCATTAAGTTTGAGACTATAAAACAAAAACAAAAAACTACTCAAACAATCGCTGTCTGGCGTTTGATCTATACTTTTGCGTTATATTACGTTTACTTTTATTATAAATCTTTTATTTTAGTTTTTATTCGCACGGAAAATAGTTTTATTTCATAACTTCTCAATGTTTATGTAATAAAATGCACACTAAAGCTGCCCGGCTTATAATGAGATAATAAATATTATTTTTATTGAATACCGTAAGACATTAATTGGTAAATAATTTTAGGATATATTTTTCAGTGCTTTTTGTTATACAACTCAATGGATAGATAGAAATCTATTAAGGCTTTAGAAAATGACAATAAAGTGTAATAAATTAAAATCATGGGGTAATAAAATTAACATTTTTAAGTATTAGTTTTATTTTTGGTATTTTATTTCTACAGAATATTCTGTTGCCATTCACACGAATATATATATAAAATAGATATATTATATATGCATATCATGTGAACGTATACTTTGTTTTAATTAAAACGTCGCTAATTACTTCAAAATGAATTTAAATTTATTTATTATTATTATTATTATTATTTTCAATTCAAAAACTTAACTTTTAAATTGTCTAAAGTGTTTATTAGCGAAAAACTTTTTCACTTTCAAGTGTTTAGCGATTATTATTCATTTCCTTTTAAATATTTAATATAACAAATAAACACGGGACTTCAATTAAGTTTCTAATCCATTAAATACCCGGGTATAATTAAATTGCACTCTCAGTGTGTGTATATATATATACTTTAATTTCGTATATAATTATACGCTATGCATGTCTGGAGTTATAATTGATTTTCATTAACACGGCTTTCCGTATAAGAAAATCAACGTTTGGATTATAAAACACCGAAAATACATCTCCATATTAATAGTGATTAATCATATTTGCGTAATATTTTTGAAAACACATTATTTTAATGAATCAAGAGTGGCTTTTATGATGATACTATGCATACACAGAATATTCTGTTCCCTTATATCATATAATAACACATGCATTGAATGGCAGGTTTTTATTAAGCAACGATCGTGGAGTCGGTTAACCCTTATATTCAGTACTCTATCATCCATTGTAAATGCAAATGCCTTTCAGGCAATTCGTATATAAAATGTGTAAAAACTGTACATATTTTTCGAGCAAATGTTGAATAATTTCACTTCCTTTTAAAAATTTAAACATTCAGCTTTCATATTGAGTTTTTGAATATAGTTTGAGTTTCGGATTGTATTTTGTGTTTGCTCAAAAAAAGTCGCATATACTATATTATTATTTTTTTGCATTTTTTAAATCGATTGTAGGAATATTCTCTCACATATAAAAAATATTATTTCCCTATACTGTGTGCACGCGGGAGGAACTCATAATATAATAGATTTTATGCATTCGCTCGTAAGAAATTTAATTGAAATCTATCGGCAACTAAACCCCTGGACTTTAACTCTCTCATCGTTTTTTTCACAAAATTATAGCCCAATTCTGTGCTCACTCTCTCACCAGCTATATATAAACGCCAATCGATACCTGAATGGCAAACATATAGTGAAAATGCATTTTAATTCACTAAACCAGAGTTTATGTCACACACACACAAACTAATCATTTAACGCCACTGCACTACAATATCAATAGAAATTTTATTACATAATAAAATATAATTACTAACGCTTACGTCATATTAATTTAATTTATATTGAGTTCATAATACCTAATTCACTTATCATGGATGCACAGAATATTCTGCATTTAAAATTACTACAAATTAGCCATTATATGACATAACACACAGAATATTCTGTAATCATTCACTCGTTTATTAACAAGTTATAGAATACATAATACTATGTATCGACAGGTGATTGGTAGAGAATATTCTGTACATAAACTTGGTAAAAATTAACTATTATACGATATAACACACAGAATATTCTGTAACTAATCTCCGTATGCATTGACAGGTGATTGAGATACCGATGAAGTACGAGGACTCGGAGTACGAGGGGTCGACGGACACGGAGATCGCGTGCGGCATGTCGTCCCTCTTGACCCAGACCTCCAACGAGAGTCACGACAATGTCGCGCAAAACTATTTACTACACGTGCGATCCGGACACCACAAACGACTGGCCGGCTTTCAAGCCGAGTTCGTGTGCCTTAGCCCGGGAGTCGACAGCACGACAGCGCCTCCCTATCGGATCACATCCCTGTGTGTCAACTCATACGCCAACCTGTAATCAAACTAATCGTTACTATTTGTAGTCATTGTCCATAAAGTGGTTTCTCTCCCGCACTCTCCCTAACCTTTTCGTAGCTATGATATAGTCTTATAGCTAACGTAATGTATAATCATTTTATGTTTGTTTTTAATTTTGTGATGTCTGTCCCCTCGACTATTAGGGTTGCCTACGGAACAGAAAATAGTCTTATTATTATCGATACGATTCAAAAGTGTGCTGTACTTAACGTGTCGACCAGTAATTTATACGGTGAGCCACCAATTTAATACCATGCTTATATATTAATATATGTAATTTAATACCATTTTAATGCATA